AAGAAAGATGATAAATGATTAGAATTGCTTTATGTTCATACATTTTTTTATATTAAGAAATAACTCTTATTTATGCTCCAGGTATAATTAAAATCCTTATGAAATTATTTCCATTCATAGGTATCTTTCTTTCAGTGACTTAAAGCAAATTAAGCTAGAACTATGAAAATTTTAGATGTCCCTGATAAGTACATTAATGTCTTTAGAGGATTTAATCAGACCTATAAGTTAGGATAGAAAGATATAATATTAATCTTAAATGAAACATTGACTTGTAATGAAAGACAAGCAGCATGACAAGCTGCTACTACATTTAGAGGTAAGTATCATATTGTTAATTTCAGACAGCCAAAAGATCAACAGCCAGGTGAACCACCTGTTCCCAGTGGAGCCAAATCACTTCCCATCCAAGACTCTTTATTGCCTGAGAACAAGCTATGAGATTGAAAAAGGAGACATTTTCAAGTGTGTATGCAAAGGAAAAAAAAACTTTCTAGTTATTTTGAGTTAGTTTGTCATCTATTTTGAGGAGAAAAATGAAAACCCCTTTCAATTATTAGAACATTTATTTAAGACACTAATAAAACATATGTCCATACATCCTGATTCAGTAGCAGGACAGGTTTTGCTTAAAGAGTTGTTTATTCCCCAGTAAACCCTAGATAATTGGAAAAAAAGCTACAAAATATGGACTTCACTTCAGATAGTTTACTTGATACTTTAGTAAAAACTACCTCCTTATTGATTTGTAATCTACACTGGAAGAAAGCCAAAGAGAGAAAACAAAGAGACCAAAAATAGCAGCCCTTGGTGCAGACTTAAAAAGAACAGACCTTAAGTCTGATTCTCAGGGCTCCAAGAAGATCTGGATAAATGTACTAACCTGCTATCACTGGCACAAGCAAAGCCACTTTAAGAGGAACTGCCTTAAGAAACCCCACAAGCCACGCTTTGACTGTAAAAACTGCCACTGGGGGGAAAAAAAACCCTGTGCTCTGAAGCAGACTCTAGATCTCAGATTTGTCTCCCCAGGTAGTCCAGCAAGACTCAGGGCACTCCATCTCCTCCCTCTGGTCAGACTGTCATCTCTAACTGTCATCTCCACAGAGGAGACCTGAGTAATCATAAAGAGAAGTAAAAGCCAGCCTATTGTTGAACACTGCCAATGTCTCTTTGTCCTTCTCAACTCTGGTCTTCCTTCCAGGCATCATACCTCAATAAAAAGTCTTTAAAGTATTTTTTGTTTTATTTTTAGCTGAAATAACTTTCTTCACTCATTCCTTTTAGTTATGCTTAAAATCCCAACTCCAATCCTGGAGAGATTTATCCTGTCTAAATACTGTAATATATATTATACTGATTATCTATCTATCTATCTATCTATCTATCCAGGTTTCCAAATAATATATATATATATATATATATATATATATATATATATAATACTATAATACAGTATATACTATAATACATTATAGACTATAATACATTATAATATAATACAATTATATATACTGTAATCTATCTATCTATCTATCTATTTTTCTATCTATCCAGGTTGCCAACTAATCAAAATGATACTGAGACTGGTTTTACAAATACAGTATATATTGTTGTTCATGTATGAAAATTTAAGAGAGTTTTTCATTGGTCAAAATAATGTATCAATTTGGTTCTCACACGGTATCAAAACTTTAGAGATAAATATAACTAAATCTAGTGAGATTTACGACAATATGTCGGACTCAATAAAGGGACCTACGAGTCAGTGGGTTATAATTGCTGTCCCTTAAAAACAATTTTAAGACTTACCTATTAGCGCTAATGCTCATACTTTGATTATATATGCTTTGTTTAAAATTTCTTGTTCCTTAGAAGATGCCAAAGCCCCAAACATCAGGAAGATAAAACCAATGGCAAATATGCTAGATTCTATTTACTTGACTCCACCAGATCTTGTGTATAGAAAAGAGTATATAATACATATTGAGGCCTTAACTAAATATACCCAATGGGCCTTAAAAGACACCTAAATGAAGAGCTAAAATTAAAGACATAGGCTGTCCTTCCAAATCAGATGGCAATAGACAGTCTAACAGTAGCACAGGGGGACACTTGTGCAATTCTAATACCTAAATGTTGTGTGCACATTCTTGATCAATCTGATAATATTTCAATTGCTATTCAAGATATTAAACAACAAATCAATGACATGTCAGACTTTAAAGTTCCCTGGACTTTATTCTTATTCACCTTAAGAAAAGCCATTACTAGCTCCCCTGGTGGAAATCTTTGTTAACTGTACTCACAATTATCCTATTGATTCTATTATTTGGCCCAATTATTTCTTTGACTTTTTCTTCTCCAGACATAAAGTTGTATGCCTACCCAAGATAATAAACACCTAGTGTCTATCAAGGGTCTTTAGATAAATCCTCTGCAGAATATTCCTGACTGCCAATCAATAAGTACAACTCCCTTCAGCCTGAAGAAAGCAGGTTGGTCATTGCCCATTACTCCCTCATGGCAGTTCAGGTTACTTCTTCAGAGGGAGGATTGTTATATCCAACTGAGTAAGAAAAAAAAATATTATAGGTAGTCACATAGGGCTGGGCCCTAAAAGGAGCTAGTGCACAAGACCAAATACCTTGCAACTGTTGAGCAGACAGAGGATTGTGTTGTGGGCCAGATCTCAAGACAAAAGTTAAAACAAATGTAACCACATATTTCCTAAGGATAAGCATCAGGAACTGATATTCTAAATAGGTCTGTTTCACCCTGAGGAAGCCAGGAGTCATCATCCCAACCCCCTACAGGAAAAGTTACTGCTCTTTTTGCATGCCTGCTTGCTATATGACTTGCTTCTCCATTTGTCCCAGATTAATCACTTTTACCTGAGCAGTTAATCTTATTTGTTGGTCATAGTTCTGTCCCACCTCTTGCTCACCTTTCAAGTTCCCATGTTTTCTTCATGTTAGACCTGCCTCATATTGTGATTTTACTCTGTAAAAGTCCCTAAAAAAGAAAGAGCCTTTGGCAATCCAGTTGGAACTCATTCTGTCTCTCTTTCAGACAGAAGCCTTATTTTTCTCAATAAATATATTTTGCTCTTATAAAAAAGAAAGTTTGCTCATTTGGAAGTGCATAAATGATCTGCTATGCCAAAAAGTTATATGACCAGGTAATGGCAATAGTTAAATGACTTTACTTGTCAATTTAGGGTTATTTGGCCTGTAGTTAACCTGTTAAAATGGAGGGAAAATGATTTTGGAGGATACGTTTTATCTAAGTATCTAGAATCTTATCATGATATACATAAAGTTTTCTACCAGTGTTCCTCTAGTGAAGTGAGTTCTGCTTCTTCAAAAGGCCTCATCAAAGAAAAGGAAGATAGAAAGCTAATATTGCCGATAGTAAAATTAATATAGATAAATGTGTGTTTGATGCTTACATATATTGACAATAACTTTTGGGGGAAAGTGAGCCTTTTCAATGGGAATATTCGTCAATCTTAGGTTTATAATTTCCAGCATATGAACAACCAGAAAATATTCCATCCAAAAAATATTTCCTTTAAACCCCAAACTTATAAAAATCAAACATCATTACTATAACTACTCAGAAGAATGTGATCCCTAAAACAGCCAGCCATAATTCAAATGAGAATACGATAGCCAACAATATTTTCCCATTGTTTTTTTGGAAACAAATATGAGTTCAGGAACCAGAAAATTGAAGCTATCTTTCTAGACACTAGGTAAAAAAAAAAAAAAAAAAATAGGATGAGAAAGTTTCCCAGAAATATCTTAAAAGTGAATGGTCTATAAAATACATGTGAGAAATTTGTTGGAGAGAAGTGGAATGTTTCATACATCTGTTGATATTTAAATACAACTACATTGCCTTGGAGATGTGCCTTGGTGAGCTACTCAAAAGAATAGTTATAATGAATGGGGAAAGACAAAGTAAACTATGGAAATGGAGGGTAGCTGTGAAGAATGGCTTGGGAAAAATGTTTTCCCTGTATGTTACCAACATGAAAAGTTGAGTTACTAAATTAGTTAGTTTGGGAATGTTCTTTAAAGTTTCTAAGGAAATATTTTTCTTTCCTATGTGGAGCACATTGTCCCATAGTATCTTAATCCTCTGAGGATTTGTCATAGTGATGATTTTTGAGGTATAACCTCACCCTATAGCTACCACTGAAAGGAAGGTATGCCTTGATGACCAAAGAAAGATGGAAGGGTGTGGATCACTGTCTCAGGGAGTGGTATATACAGGGAGAACAGATTCTTGAGGCAGACAGCTGGAAGACTTCAATATGTCTCTGATGACTGGAAAAACCATAGGAGCTTACTGTCTTTAGGTGTCACTGAACAACAAATACTGAAAGGAAAAATATAAGAAAATCTTTCCACTGATGTCTGAGAGTGGACTGCAAGGTTAGTTCATCTGGCATAAGTTTCTCTTCTTTGTTGACTGAAAGGGTTGTTGACCCAGACCGGACACTGTAGCCAGAAAAAGCCTCAGCCGGAATTAGGGAGCTCCTGTCTCCCTGGCCCCTACAGATTTACCTGTAACCCTACATCCCCCACCCTTTGGAATCTGCCCCTGGCGCCAAATGTGTGCCAATTAAATACCTGTGCATCTCTAATGGCCTTAGGGCACTGCCCTAAGCTTAGGCTACTTATATTCCCCCATGCCACGTGTCCCCATGAGAGAGATTGCCAGATTCCAGCGGCCAGCAAGCCAGTCCTCCCTCCCTGTGTTCCCAGAATAAAGGCCTCTTTTGATTTATACTCCTCATCTTTTGGGAATATTTTTCATCTTCTGGAAATAATCCTATCATTGACCACCCTCAAGTCTCTCCCTTGGCCTTGTCTGGCTCAAATATTCTCTTAACCCCTCACCCATACTCATTGACCTCTCTCTGCTTCGTGTCTGTCTCTTATGCGGTTTCTCCAGTTTAATGACCTAAGTTTATCCTATTGCTCTTTCAGTTGGGGATGACACAGAGGAGCATAATACAACTACTTTCCACAAGTTCAAGTAATATATCCCTTCAGGAAACTTTAAATCCATGAATAAAACATAGTACAGTAAGAAGAACTGATGTTTAAGAATTACCACAGCCTGAACAGAAGCATGAGCCATATGACAGGCCTAAGGAATGCTATGGAACTACATATTCCAAGTATGGACCAACTTGGAATTCATACGACGATAATTTAAAGTAGCAAGGTAAGAAAGGCCTCTCCTCTTAGTAGATATGCATGTGTTTCTGTCAGTTCTCTGATGGGAAGGGAGGCAAAAAAGGAAGATGAAATTGCATGAAATGGGGAGAGAAAGAAAGCTGGAGACTGAGGATCAGACGGGTTAAAATATATAAAATATTTGAGGTAAGCAATAGGTGAGACCTGCATACCTAGGACAAATATCTCTCTATCACACTTTAATGGATTAACTATTTCTAAGAATTAAAGAGGATTTACTGTATGTTTGGAGTGTAGATATGAAAAACAACTTCTAATAAGTTTGCAAAGTGATTGCAAAAAAATTCTAGTTGGAAAATCCTATTTCAGAACAACAACAAACAAACCCTTGGTTAAAACTCTTAGAAAGCCCTTAATGGCCCTTATTCCTGCCTCGGCAGGGGATATTTTTCAAAAGGACTGAATAACAGGGATTCTAAAGTACTTAGAAAGTGGTAGACCCATTTGGAGAGGCCTTGCTCACTGTTAACTATCTCCTCCCCTCAACTCACCATTCTTGTCTCATGTAGAATTCCTCAATAAAGTAAGGTGAAAGAGAACAGCTTCTATGCATTTTAAATAATTCAATGAAGAAACAAATACTGGTTCCTTCTTCTCAGTAGCAACTGACTTGACAGTAACTTGGAACAGATATGGCCAGCAGTTGTGACAGTTATTACGGGAGAAACTTCCACCAAGAAGTAGCGTTTCCTACTCAAACTCACACCAGGAGAGAGGAAGAATTGTGCCAGTTCCACCAGTTTAAGACCTCCAAGTCAGTTAATGAAGGTCTGGAAGATAAAGATTAGAAGCCTAAAAACACTGCTTGGACAAATCACAGGCTTAGTTCTGCGTAAGACACCAGTCAGTAAACCTCCCCTCTCTTCAACCTATCAGATCTGTCTTTTCTCACCCTATCACCTGGATGCAGAATTTAGAAACCAATACTCCCAAGCTTAATATTAAAAAGCTACACAAACTGAATGTCTATGATTTTCTTTGGACCAAAGTACTGAGGTTTCAGTGATGGATTTCCATCACTAAATCTGGAGAGACTGGTACATTCAGTAGATGGACAAACTTTTTTATTTGTATCAAAGAAATTGAAGTCATAAATGGCAGAAACACTAGAAACACTAAGATGATACTTTTGATGAATTATGGCCATTTTAGTATATATTGTTATGAAATTAGAGGCAAATTCTGAGGACATCAGTCATAGGATTGTTCCTGTAGTTCCGGGGGTTTAATTCATCAAGTTCTTATGGTCAAAATCGAAGAAAGATTCCTTTTCCTTCTTTCTTTCAGAAAGATTCCTTCGTGGATTTAGGAAAAGAAGGTGAAGTGATTGTAATACATTGAGTATTTTTTCTATAACAAAGCCACATTCTGTATAGCTAAATGCTTTACCAAAGTCTTATCTCAAAAGGATGAAAGGAATTCTGATTCCAGCTCCATTTGCCAACCTGTTACACTGAATGGGGAAAATCATCCTAAACAGGGTTAAAAGATCCGAGGAAAGAGCTTTGAAATTCTGTAACCAGGTAATACAGAAGGGCCTTCAGAGAAAAGTCATCACAAATGGGGAACAATTTTGAATATCATAGTTGTGAGACACAGGATTACTAAAAGACACTTAAGATTATAGAACTATATCCTATTTAAACTTTACAAATGTACCATCACAGCATCAGTAGAATTAAAGCATATTACTATTTGTGTATTACTATACAAAATGGATTCTTTCTGACAGAAATACTTATGGAAACCCAAAGTGAAGAAGCACAACAAAGAAAATTAGAGTATTTTCAGATCTTTGACACTTTAGAAAGAGCTTCCATAAAACACATAAGCTTATTCTGTGGACTTACTTACATAAACCCTAACATTAAGTCTTAAGTACCATAGCTCCCTTTATCAATACATTTTTAGCTTTCAATAAACATTCATAGGAGATGTGAAAAGCATGAAATAAACACAGTGTAAGTTGACCAAAACCAGCACAACTTCATTCACATATCATATAAATATTGGAATCATAAAGCAACACATTTATATTGACTACAAATCTGCTAGGGGATTTAGTACTAAATGATATATAAGAGTATATGGACAATGAAAGCAGAGAGATGGAAACTCAAGAAAAGTTTTAAAAGGAAATGGTAAAAAATAAAGCACTGTGGGCCAGGGATTTAGCTCAGTAGCACAAGTGCTTGCCTGGCAGGCGCAAGGTTATAAGTTTGATCTCCAGTACCAAATAAATCAATAACAAATAAATAAAATAAATAAAACACTGCAATAGAAATTAAGTATGTTACTGATGTAATCACAAATAAACCAGGAATAGTCTATAAAAGAATCAGTAAATGTGGTAAAGTTTAACAGAATTTTACCAAATAAAATTACATAGAAAACAAAATGTGATAAAAGGAAGAAAAAAAACCAATCAATTACTGTAGAAAAACTAAAAACACTATATACATAATTGGAATACCATGAAAAAAGAATACTGCAAAAAAATACTTCAAGTAAAGATATCTAAGAATTTTCAAAATCTAGTGACAAACAGCAAACAGATTTTAAAAAGTAGCAAAAGCAAGTATCTTACTAACATTCTCATCATAAAAGACACAAAATCTTACTCCCACAACTTGAAGATAGAAAGGTTTATCTCAGTACATGTTTTTTTTAAAGAAGTTTCTGTCTATATTTGACTGACTCCAAGGCAGACAAAGCAACGATGGAGCAGCCTGCCAGGGAAGAAAGCTCCTCATATATACCAGGAAGTAGAGAGATGGGAAAGGAGCTTGAGAGAGAGATACATACTCATCCAGATCATACTTCTTCTACCCTGTGTCCAACTAGGCTGCATCTCTTAACAGCAAGTCTGGTAACACCCTGCATGATTCAATCACCTTGCTGAAGACTTTCCTCTGAGTACATGAAAGTTCCAGTGGTCATTCTTGACCATAATATTTTATCCTTGCCCCCCAAAACACACATTGACATCTCTGTGCAAATTGCATTTAGTCCATCTCTAGGACATACCAGATTTTAACAGTTCCACAATTTCTGAAAAGTCCAAATCCCAAGCCTCCTCTGAAACTCAAAGAAAATTTTTAACTGTGAGTGTCTGTAAAGGAAAAAAGAAACATGGAAATGCTGCTGGCATAAAACAATGCAATGTAAACATTCTCTTCCTTAGAAGGAGAAATAATCAGATAGAAATAAATGGTACCAAAGCAACAATGAAACCCAGTGGGGCAAACATTAAATCCTATACCTCCATGTCCAGAAACCAAGGCAAGCTATGGTGAGATGTGCTCTCCAAAGGGGTTAAGTGGCCCTACACCTATGATATTGTTGCTTGCTGCCCTTAAAGCTTCTCTTGGGTTGCCTGTAACTTACAGCCTGCAACTTTACTCAGATGTTCCACATTCCTAGTTTCTCTAATTTTCTGTGGCCTCCATCATAATTTTGGCTTTCACTCTTATAGAATTACACACTGCCTTCTCAGGAACATACTACTCATCCTCAAACTTCTTCCTCTGAAATCTGAGTGGAAGCCAGAATCTACAACTTTAGCATTCTGCATGCCTGTAAAACCATCATCACATATGTTAAACCAAGGTCAGTTGCTAAGTTGAACAGTACACACATCCTTGGATTATGAATGCAAATATCTCTTAGTGTTGATGTTTGAGCACTGGGAACTGCATCCTGGGGAACCAGTTTCTTAGATGGCCAACCCCCAGCAGGGTGGCCTGAAACTCTCTTCTTCAAGAAAAGTTTTTATTTTTTTTTTTCTTTTGTGACCTACAGTTTGGAAAGGGTGCCTTCTTGCTGATTTCTGAAACAACCTCTAAGCATCTTTCCTATTATCCTGTGATGCAAAGTACTTGACTTCTTTTTAAATACTAATTATTTTATAAATCAAGTTCTCTTTTCCACCCTTCCAGGAGATTCCTCTTTGGGAAACTAAAGACTTCAAAAGGGCCTTTTGCTCCCGATTTTCAGTATAAAACTGGCTAAAAGATGCTACCAGTATCCATGCCACAGTGTGAATTTTGGGCTGTCTTGAAATTTCACCAGATTAATATTCGGTCAGCCTTAATCTCAGTTTCCCCCAAAATTCATGGAACATGAGCAAAATGTGACAAATTTTCTGCCACAGAATAACACACAGGGGCTCAAGTCCAAATATCAATGGAATCTTTGTTCCTAACTGAAAATTCTGAGTCTGGTTTTACAATCTATGTACTTATTAGCATTGTGATCTTGTGTGTTATAACTCCAATTTTCTATTAAGCTTTTCTTACCAAATGCTAGCTGGCAACCCAGACATGGTGGTGCATGCTTATATGTCCAATATGTGGGTGACTGAGGAAGGAGGATTGCCATGCATTTAAGACCAGTCTCAGCTATATAGAGAGATTGAGTTCAACTTGAAATACCAAGTGAAATTCTAGATTGAAAAAAAAACCTAGCTGGCATTTCTAACATTTTCCAATCTCTTACAAACCAGTACCAAGACTTCTAAACCACATGGTCAAGTATGCTCCCAGCCAAACCCAGTACTACTACTCTGGTACCAAAATTTGCATGAGTTAGTGTTTTTAAGAGGAACAGATTTAATATAAAATATATAAATGATTATTCAAAGGATTTATTAGGTAAGCTTACAGGATCAGAACTGGAAAAGTCTCAGTGGCAGTCTATCAATCAAAGTTGGAAAAGTCCAAAATGAGGATGTGCTGAATATAAGAGGATCCAGTAGCAGTTGAAGATCAAAGCCTGAAAGCTCACTACAAAGTTGTCAATGCAACTATATGTTGGAAACCCAAAAAGATTGCATTGGAAGGCTGAAGAGTCTGTGCTAGAAGATGGAAGGATCTAAAGATCAATGTAGGCAAAAAAAAATGGTGAAGACCATAACTCTGCTGAAGTAAAAGGAAACGTTTCTTTCTTTTTTTCCATTTTATTCTATCCAAGTTTTAAGACTACTGATTTGTGCCACTTAGGTTTTGGTAGGTCTTTCTCCCTCAGTTT